CCATCCTTTCTTCTTTCCTTCTTTTCCTTTCCTTTCCTTTCCTTCCTTCCCTCCCTCCTGGCTCCCTCCCTCCTCCCTCCCTCCCTTTCCTTCCTCCCTCCCTCCCTTCCTTTCTTTTTCTCCATCCACCCATCCTTCCTTTCTTCTTTCCTTTCCTTTCCTTTCCTTCCTTCCCTCCCTCCCGGCTCCCTCCCTCCTCCCTCCTGCCTCTCCATTTCTCCTTCCTTCCTTCCTTTTTTTATAAATAAATTTTATTAATTTTACAATTAAAACAAACCAACAACACATACACAAATGAAAGGAAAGAAAGAGAAAAAAAGCAAAAAGAACGAAAAGAAGATAGACAGAAAGAATAGAAAGCAATTAAAAACATTCTCATTTTCCACAGTTTGTAAGATCGAGGTCGGCATCTATCGGATCTCAGGGGTGGCCACAGACATCCAGCCCTTGAAAGCCGCCTTTGATTCCAGTGAGTTTTCCTTCCTTCCTTCCTTCCTCCCACCCTTCTTTCCTCTCTCTCTCCATCCTTCCTTTCTTCTTTCCTTCCTTTCCATTATTTCTCCCTTTCCTCCCTCTCTCCTTCCTTCCTTCCTGCTTGCCTCTCCATTCCCCCTTCCTTCCTCCCATCCTCCATTCCTCTCTCCAACCTTCCTTTCCTCTTTCCTTCCTTTCCATTCTTTCTTCATTTCCTCCCTCCCTCCTCCCTTCTTTCCATCCTTTCAATTCTTCCTTTCTTTCTTCCTGCTTGCCTCTCCATTCCTCCTTCCTTCTCCCACCCTCCATTCCTCTCTCTCCCTCCCTTCCTTCCTTCCTTCCAATTAAATTTTCACAGCAGCGATGTTCACACAACACTCTTAAAATGTTTAGCTTGAACATGGAAATTGGTGGATATGTGTCCTGGGTGCTTTTGTTAGTTGGAATTTCGGTGAACTAAATCCAGAAAATGAGTAATCAGGTGAATGCAGACCCTCTGAGTTATTACAGATTAAACAGCCACCGAGGAACAATATTTCAAACCGATATACTTTATTCAGATATATGGGTAATCAGAATACAGTAAATTAAGTTTGTTGTTTTGCTTTTTCCAGCTAGATGGCAGCATCTAGCCAACCTTGGCTAATTTTACTAACTTAATTTGGATCTGGTCAGTAGTTGGATGGAGGGAATCCCAGGGCTGTCAGCTAAATTGGGAAACTGAGAAAATAACCACAGCAAGCCATGACTACAACCCTCCATATCTGTTGCAACAAAACTACATAAACATTCTAAGCCAAGGAGGTTTTCCCTAACCTGCTTTTTTAGGCTTCAATGCTCTATTATTCCACCCCATTCTGTCCTCTAAGGGGCTTTCTTATGTTTTTTTAAAAAAATGTCCTTTTGTCTGGAAAATCCTTGTTCTTTGCAAAAGACCACACATTCAGGAGGTGCGCTACAAACAGGAATAAAAGATGGAGCTGTGGAGTGATTTTAAGACGTACAAGCAAATATCATTTCTCAAATTGATCTGCATTAAACTACATACACAGATGCTATAAATAGAAACATTTTTTGCAGAATGCATCATCCATCGGAATTATTGGTTAAAATTATCATTAAACCCCAGCCCCACCCCAGGGCAAAATGTACCCCCCTCCAACCCCGCTGCCTCTTTCACCTTCCAAAAAAAAAAAAAAAACCTTCTTACCTGAGCTTTCTCACCTGTCCTTTTAAAGATGCTCAGTCCTTCTGCAATTCTTCGCTTTGCAAAGGGGTCCGGTAGGGGGCGCAAGACTCCCGAGCCCACCAAAAACTACACATCCCATCTGCCCAATCGAACGCGAATTTGGCCACCCAACCTTGGAAGGCACGCCGGGAATGGTAGTCCGGCTGAAACCAAGCAGCGGGATTGGGTAAGAGGTGCGCTTGCGCACTCGAATCCAAACGAATGGAGGGTTTGTTTGTTTCTTCCCCCCCTCCCCTCTTCGGGGATTGGACTAAATTTCCCATGAAGCTCCGCGGGCTTTCCCCCTATTGGGAAAGCCGGGGCGAGCGGCGAACGGCACGACGGGAACTGTAGGCTTCGAGTTGTGAGGTGGGGGGAAGAGAAAGAAGCTCAAATGGCGGCGGCCTTCCCCAGAGCCCCGAAGAAGCCCGATGAAGCCGGCAGGGCGACGGAAGCGGCCTCGCCGCTGCAGTACAGCCTCCTGCTGGAGTACCTGGTGGGCGAAAAGCGAGGCCCGAGGCCGGATTTCCCGCCGGGCGTCCTCGGGGGCTTCCCGGCGCCCGTCAAGAGCCCCGAGCAGAAGATGGTCGAGCGCGCCATGGAAAGCTGCGCCTTCAAGGCGACGCTGGCCTGTGTCGGCGGTGGGTGTCTTCCGAGGGGGCCTGGAAGGCCGACTTCAACCCCTCCCCTCTCTGCCTCGCTAGAGTCACGAGGACTACAACTCCCATCACCCTGTGATATTCCAGGCGGCCGCTAGGGGGCGATAGAGAGGAACTTCTGCGGTTCTCTGCTGCCCCCTGGCGGCCGTGGAGAGAGTTGCAACTCTAGCGCGCCATTCCTGCCTCGGGGCTCCGGAGTGGGTGAGGATGATGGGTGAGGTAGCTCCTCACCCCCAGGAAGGAGGAGGCTAGGTTTGCCAGAAAATTTATTTTCAATTGTTTATTTTCATTTATTTAACAATTGGCCACCCTTCTCAAAGAGCTATCTTGTTTTCATGCATTTATGAAATTTAGCTATCGGCCTTCTGTGTTAACCCACCTTTATTGTTGTTATGAATAATTCAAGGCAGGGAACAACGTAATACTGCCCCGTCCTCCAGTTTTCCCCACAACAACAACCCTGTGAGGTGGGCTGGGCTGAGAGAGAGAGGGATTGGCCCAAAATCACTCAGCTGGCCCAAGGCAGGACTAGAACTCCCAGTCTCCTGGTGATTGGCTCAGAGTCACCCAGTTGGGTTGCATGCATAAGGCGGGACTAGAACTCACCATCTCCTGGTGATTGGCTCAAAGTCACCCAGCCAGCTTTCATTCATAAGGCAGGAACTAGAACTCACTTTCTCCTGGTGATTGGTTCAAAGTCACCCAGTTGGCTTTCATGCCCAAGGCTAGAACTCATCATCTCCTGGTGATTGGCTCAAAGTCACCCAGCCAGCTTTCATTCATAAGGCAGGAACTAGAATTCACCTCCTGGTGATCGGTTCAAGGTCACCCAGCCAGCTTTCATTCATAAGGCAGGAACTAGAATTCACCTCCTGGTGATTGGTTCAAAGTCACCCAGCCAGCTTTCATTCATAAGGCAGGAACTAGAATTCACCTCCTGGTGATTGGTTCAAGGTCACCCAGCCAGCTTTCATTCCTAAGGTGAGAACTAGAACTCACTGTCTCCTGGTGATTGGCTCAAAGTCACCAAGCCAGCTTTCATGCCTAAAGCAGGACTAGCATTCCCCATCTCCACGCACAGTGCATGGACAAAGCCAGATTCACTTAATGACCAAATTATTCATTTAAGTACAGCGATTCACTTAAATATGGCAAGAAAGCTCTCAAAAGCGGCAAAACTTACTGAAAAACTGTCTTGCTTAGCAACAGAAATGTTGGGCTCAAAAGTGTGGCTGTAAGAGAAGAACTACCTGTGTATGACTACCTTGTAAAGTGGAGATGGCATGAAAGCAAGCCCTTTGACTCCCCATTTGCACGATTCTCCAGACATGCATCCATCATTTCAGTCTTGGGTGAAGTGCCCTTGACTGACCTCTTTGCAATTCTGATCTGGCAGGTTTCGTCCTGGGAGGTGCCTTTGGCGTGTTCACCGCTGGCATCGATACCAACGTGGGCTTTGACCCTAAGGATCCCTACCGCACGCCGACAGCCAGAGAAGTCTTGAAAGATATGGGGCAGCGGGGAATGTCGTACGCCAAAAACTTTGCCATCGTGGGTGCAATGTTCTCTTGCACTGAATGCCTGGTGGAATCTGTGAGTAACTTCCTTGTTTTGATCTTGATTGAGAAAAGGGTCTGGGGGCTATATCGTATGATGAACGGTTGAGGGAGAGAGAGCTAGGAGGTATATATATATATATACAAACTAGAGGTTTATTCTTCCAAACTTTCAGACTCCTACTTGGAGGCCATCCTCAGGGAACTTTTCATTCTTCAGCTGGGCTGTTGTATGCATAGTATCCAGTTTCCCCGAAAATATGACCTACCCCGAAAGTAAGTCCTAGCTTGATTTTTACACATGCACCCAATATAAACCCTACCTCCAAAATAAGCCCTAATTAAGATCCCGCTCACTCCAGAGTGAATGGGTAAAAATTAAGCTAGGGTGGAGATGGAGGGTGGAGCTGCCTTACTACTTACCTTTGGAACAGGTATAGCCAGGCCTCGCACACCCCGACATCTGCCTTGCCGGCCCATTTCGTCTGCAGCCGACAAGGCTGGCAAGGCTTTCATGAAGGTCTCTAGCTGATAACAAAACTCGGGATCAACCCAGAGCTCTTTTATCGGCTGCAGAGGCCTTCAGGAAAGCCTTGGTGGCTGCAGAAGAAGAAGTTCCTGAAGGCCTCTGACAGCAAAAAGGAGGCCGGGGGCGATGTGCGCAAGTGAGGTTAGTCAGTGGATGACATCCCCCCAAAATAAGACCTGGTGCCTTTTTGGGTGGCAAAAAAATATACAAGACAGGGTCTTATTTTCGGGGAAACATGGTATTTATGTGGTGCCTGGTTGTGTGTGGCTTTTAGTTGTTAATTAGGACCATGTGGCGGGCTGTTAACACATTGATGTTTCCTTGTGCTGCTGCACCTTCAGCTCCTAAGTATGTGGTAAGCTGATAGTAAATCAGCACATCCTTTGACTTAACAAGGGGCTTGTTTCCCAGGCTTCAATCATTTCTCTGGCTATTTTTGCCCCTGCTCGGCCGACAATCGTAGTAGTCACGAAATAGAATGCATGTCCTTGTTCCTTGCAGTGTGAGGCTACTAATGAGTTCGAGTGTCCTTGTCTTAACTGCTCACTCATGTTCTTAGAAGGCCACAGAACAGCCCAATGCACACTTTCCGGAGGGAGAGAAGTTCCTTGAGGATGGGCTCCACGAGTCCAGAATCCTAGAAGAATAGACCTCTGGCCCCGGTGACCGACTCCGATTGAATCCCGCAACATTATCCTGGGAGCACGTATATTTTCCTTCATTTGCGAGCTATGCCTAGCTCAGGGGTGTCTCTTTCATTGAGGGCTGCATCAGGGTTGTGTTTGACCTCAGGGGGCCGGGGTGGGCGTGGCCAGGGTTGTTGTGCCCAACTTGGGGGCACCTGTGTGGCCTGAGCCGTCTGTCCGCGAAAACGGGCTCCCAAGCTCCGTTTTCAGCCGTGGCTGCCTCCTGCAAGCCTCCGCCAGCAGAAACCCTCCCGAGGCAGATCTAAGCACCCCGCAGGCCAGATTCATCCTCCGGGCCTTGAGTTTGACACCCCCTGATCTAGCCTGTTGAAGAGAAGAATTAGGGTGGACCTGATAGCAGTCTTCCCTGAAACTCCAATACTTTTGACCATCCGATGAGAAGAAAGGACTCCTCGAGTGAGGAGGATGGAAGGCAAAAGGGCAAGGGGACGGCAGAGGACGAGACGGATAGATAGCGTCATCAACACAACGGACGTGAATTTGGGCAAACTCTAGGAGACGGTGGAAGATGGCGGGGAGTGGGGGGGGGGGAGAAACGTGGAGCGCTGTGCTCCGTAGGGTCATGAGAAGGAGTCAGGCCTGACTTAGCCGCTTAACAGCAACAACAAAGATCTTCCAGTCCTTTAGAGCTGTTGCAGAGAATTATACTCCAACATACCAGAGAGCAGGACGAGAAGCAATGGGTGAACAAACAATCATGACAGAGAGATCTAACCTCGAATTAAGGGGAAATTTCCTGACCGTGAGGACAATTAATCCACGGAACAGCTTGCCTGCTGGAAGTGTGGGGGCTCCCATCGCTGGAGGTTTTCAAGAATAGACCGGACAACCATTTGACCAGGATGGTATGAAAGTCTTCCTACCTTGAGCCAGGGGGTTGGACTAGAAGGCCTCCGGGGTTCCTTCCAGCCTTACGTTCCAGGATCTTGGTTTAATTCCCTTAAAAACAAGAAGAGGAAGGGCGACAGTCTCCGTCCTTCGGTGTCCTTGTAACCAGAGCTGCCCACATCCTGTGTTTAGAGCTCTTTCTCTGGCACCGTCTGGTTTTCCTTCGAGCTCAGAGGATAGGGAGGATCCCTAATGCATTAATGCATTTTGTTTTTAATATAAGAAAAATACGTGCGGTTTCCGAGAGGGATCTAAGCAAAGGCAGTCATTAAAGTATCATTACCTTCGGGAACTGTGGCTTTCAAAGAGCCTCTCAGTCGCCAGCCTTTCCAGAGTTCAGACTCTTGGGTTGCTTCGACTGGGACACAGACACAGGTGTATAGTCAGCGGTGCCCAAGATCCCATACCTCATTATCATTTTTGCTTCACTGATGGTTTTTATATCATCAGCATAAAATTTGTGGCGGAATGCAGTCCGCAGAGACAGCAGAGCTTGGAAAATAAATAGGAAGAGGGTGAAGGCCGACCCTCTCTAGTCGCCTCAGATGGGCATCCTATAGCAATAGCCCTTAGACTTATATACCACTTTATATTGCCTCTAAGCAGTTTACAGAGTCAGCCTCTTGCCCCCGACACTCTGGGTCCTCATTTAACCCATCTCGGAAGGATGGAAGGCCGAGTCAATCTTGAGCAGGTCAGGATCGAGCTCCTGGTAATGGGCAGAGTTAGTCTGCAATAATGCATTATAACCACTGTGCCACTATGGATTCCTTCCTCCCTCCTTCCCTTCCCTTCCCTTCCTCCTCTAACAATAGGCCTTAAGACTTATATGCCACTTCACAGTGCTTTCCAGCCCTCTCTAAGCCGTTTACAAAGTCAGACTCTTGCCCCCAACAATCTGGGTCCTCATTTTACCCACCTTGGAAGAATGGAAGGCCAAGTCAACCTTGAGGTGGTAAGGATCGCACTCCAGACCGGGGGCAGAGTTGGCCTGCCATACTGCATTCTAACCACTGTGCCACAGGAAGGAAAAAAGGGAAGAAGGAAGGAAGGAAGGAATAGCACTTGCACTTATATACTGCTTCCCCGTGCTTTCCAGCCGTCTCTAAGCGGTTTACAGAGCCAGCCTCTTGCCCCCAACACTCTGGGTCCTCATTTTACCCACCTTGGAAGGAGGGAAGGCTGAGTCAACCTTCAGCCTGGTAGATTCGAACTGCTAAATTGAAGGCAGTCGGCAGTCAGCCAAAGTAGCCGGCAGTACCGCATTCTAATCACTGCCCCACCACGGCTCATATTTACGAAATATAAATTTAATAAATATAAATTCACAGAGTATATCTAATACTTATGCAGATAGTTGCTTTAGTCTGGGAAACTTCTGTTTGTAGGCGAAGAGCAATAAAGAGCTATAGGTAGTCCTCATCTTACGACCACAGTTAAGCCCCCAAGTTCCCTGTTTAAGCCAGACACTTGTCAAGTGAGCCTTGCCCCCATCTTACAACCTTTCTTGCCACCGTTGTTAAGTGAATCTGACTTCCCCATTGAATTGGTTCCTCAGAAAGTTGCAAAAGGGGATCACATGACACACACACACACACACACACACACACCGGGAACACTGCAACTGTCATAAATGTGAGTCAGTTGTCAAGTGTCTAAAGTTTAATCCTGGGGATGCTTCAGTGGTCGTTGTGTGAAAAACGGTCTTAAGGCAGATTTTTTCCCCAGTGCTGTAGTCACTTTGAATGTCACTAAATGAACGGTTGTAAGTTGAGGACTATCTTTATTCCACAGATTGGTTTTGGTTCTTTGGGCCTGACAGTTTCCAGTCATGAAAGAAGCTCTTCACAACCTATTCTATTCTATTCTATTCTATTCTATTCTTTCCTTATTCTATTCTTTCCTTATTCTATTCTATTCTTTCCTTATTCTATTCTATTCTTTCCTTTATCTATTCTATTCTATTCTATTCTATTCTATTCTATTCTATTCTATTCTATTCTTTCCTTATTCTATTCTATTCTTTCCTTTATCTGTTCTATTCTATTCTATTCTATTCTTTCCTTTATCTATTCTATTCTTTCCTTTATCTATTCTATTCTTTCCTTTATCTATTCTATTCTATTCTTTCCTTTATCTATTCTATTCTATTCTCTATTCTATTCTATTCTCTGTTTTCTATTCTATTCTATTCTATATTTTATTCTCTGTTCTATTCTATTATTCTATTTTCTATTCTATTCTTATTCTACTCTGTATTCTATTTTATTCTCTATTCAATTCTTAAATTCTTATTCTATTCTATTCTCTATTCTATTCTATTATTCTATTCTATATTTTATTCTTATTCTATTCTCTATTTTCTATATATTTTATTCTATATTTTATTTTTAAATTCTTATTCTATTCTATATTCTATTCTTAAATACTTATTCTAGTCTGTTCTATTCTTAAAATCCTTATTCTATCTATTCTCTATTCTATTCTATATTTTAAATTCTTATTCTATTCTGTTCAATTCTTAATATTCTTATTCTGTTCCCTGTATTTTCTATATTTTATTCTCTATTCTAATTCTATTCTATTACCCTATTCTAAGTCTATTCTCTATTTTCTATTCTCTATTTTATTCTCTATTCTTATTCTATTCTTATTCTATTTTATTATATCCTCCCAACTTTTTAGAAGGGACGTTAAACATGGGTGGTGGCTTCTTGACCGCCTCTTTTCTCGCTTCCCTAGTACCGAGGCAAATCCGATTGGAAGAACAGCGTCGCCAGCGGATGCATCACCGGCGGGGCCATCGGTTTCAGAGGTGAGCGCTTGCCTTCCAGGCTGTTTGGACAGGCTCCCCGGAGCCACAGCGGGACGGAGGCCCAGGCATTCCTGTACGAAGAAGCTGCCCTTGGCAACACAGCCCTGACTGCAGCTGGCGGAAGCCGAGGCATCGGCTTGCCAGAACATGGGCAGCCTGCCACTCTTTCTGGGATTCACAGCTCACGTGTCTCCCCCCGAGGATGCCAAGGTGGAAGCAAGTGTAATATTACGCAGGGTTCAAACGAGGCGAGTGCCTCGTTGGCGGTGGAAATCTTTAGTTATTTCGTTTTTTTAAAAGGAGCCGGGCCAGCAAAGAGATTTCCTTTTCAAAATGCCAAGCTCTAATGTCCCTTAAGTGTATTGAATGGTACCCCAAGCAAGCTCTTTTTTTAAAAACTGGATTGATTTAAATATTTTTGGGGGGTTAGGGGAGATATCCATGGAGATTCCCAATCCTTTAGGTCAGTAATGGCTAACCTTTTCAGCTTGGTGTGTCGAAAATCGGGAAAAAGGGTAGCCTTCCTCGGGTTGTGTGTCACTTCAAGAAATATCAATAACTTGGTTTATGACGGACTGGGCTGGGGTGATCACACAGGGCTGTGAAACTCGTCTCCCTGGTCTCAGGGCTGCAGGTGCAGGATGTGGGGATCGGAAGGCCACCTTACAGGGCTGTGAACCTCATGGATCTCCTTTCCTCCTGTTAGCGTTCCTGGGGTAATGAAACTGACAAACCTCAGTTTATGGCGGTTAAAACTGGTTCTCTGCTGCAAAGATCTCGCGGCAGCGGTGACACCGCGCCTCCACGCAACAAGCAGGGAGCAGGGATTGGAGCAGAGCACAGGCAGCCTCTAAATGTGCAGGTTTTCCCCACACCAACAGGCGTGTCAGTCAAAGTGCCTCGGCGTGTCACGAGTGACACGCGTGTCATAGGTTAGCCATCACTGCTTTAGGTCATGCTTGTCCCAAAAGTGTTTTACCAAAAAACCAAGTGGACTTTCTTGCTTTTTTCCCCCCCCCCACCCTTTGAAAATGTTTTGTTTCACTTCTCATCCAAGCAGCTTCTTAGGTTCTGCTGAACTGAACTCAACTGAAGTTGTTTCCTGGATGAGAAGCCAAAACGTTTTCAAGGGAAAAAACAAAAACACAAAAAAATCCAGTTGTCTTTTGGAATTAAAAAAAAATCATTTTTGTAGAGAGCCACAGGAGGTTTTGAGCCTGTTTTTGAGCCTTCAGAGCTATTGCTTCTGTTGGGAGTATCCTTCCCTAGTAGGGTTTATAAATTGTGCACGAACCAAGAAACAAACGTAAACCATGATGGACTGTGATGCATGAATCCGGCCCAGTGTTTTCTCAGCCTTGACAAATTGAAGCCGTGTGGACTTCAAACTCCCAGAATCCTCCAGGAAATATATTTTAAGATGGATGGACTTCAACTCCCAGAATTCCTCTGCCAGCAAGGACTCCCTTTTGGCTTTTGGGGTCTCAGGTACAGGATGGAGCCCATCTCTGGTCTGTGTGAATGATTGGTTAGATAGTGCCCGGCTGCTACGTTTTATTTTCACTTAATATTGTGTATTTTACTGTAAGCGGCCCAGAGCCATGTGAAAACGAGACGGGTGGCTTTACACAGGTAGTCCTCGACTTAACGACCCTCTCTGAGCCCAGAATTTATGTAAATTCTGCCAGTCATTAAGCGGGCTACCACGTGAGCATTTACAGCCCCCCCCTTTTTCTTTTTGCAATAATCATTAAGTAAATGCTGCCATCATTCAAACAATATGATGTTAAACGAAGCCTTTATTGTGCCACTGTGGGATACTGCAAACAGCCATAAACGTGGGCCAGTTGCAAAACGCCCCCAGTGCATTTGCAACTGGAGGGGGAAAGCCATTGGAACTTCTAAACTGGGCAGTCGGTAGCTCTGACGTGTTCCGTCATAACTTTGAGCAGTCGCTAAGCGAGGACTCCCTGCAAATGGAATAAATAAATCATAAATGATCGACTTCTCCTTTCCTTGCAGCCGGCCTCAAAGCTGGGGTCCTCGGCTGCGGGGGCTTCGCCGCCTTCTCCGCAGTGATCGACTACTACTTACGGTAGCAAGCCGAGGCCCCACCAGCAAGGACTTTTCTGACGGCCGCTGTGGAGGACAGCAGGGCCCAGTGGGTGTCTCGAGCCCCCCCACCGGGGCGGGGTTTATGAACGTTAAACCCACCGAGCGAGAACCCCAAATCTGCCAAGGTTAGGAGAAGAACCACCACAGAGGAGCCTGTTGCAAGCTCTTGAGTTCTCCTGCTTGGATCTGGGAAGTGAGCTGCTGGGATGAAAAATGGGAGTTTTGTGGTTGCGTGTTTGGACTGGGAAGAACAAAAAAA